ATTAGCACACCTTCTGTATGTATATCATTATAACTATTATGAATGTCGTCATCGGGGGGACAGAAAAGTAATAAGAAGAATAAAAAAGAAACAGCTGTCAGATATATTTTAAAACCTCCCGCTGCTTTGCCACCGATGTCATACGCGCGCGCATACACAATAGTTACTTAATACGTGTTCGTAAGCAAGAAACTGTAGAGGTTCATCGTAGAGATTCAATTATATGTTTTATTATTATTATTGTATTATATTATACTACACCGTTGGTCTTTCAGTATGTTTGTGTGAGTGTACGCTTCAAAAGAATGTCACGCGCGCGTGACAACAGTGGTTGACTCCGCACGGCTTGACTCTTTCAAAGGCACTGGCTGCCTCAGATTTTTTGTAGTCAAACGGATAAGAAATTATACTATACGGCGACAACAAACAATAATAACAGTAGTCTGTATTAATAATAGTACGGTGTCGTCCCAATTGTCATACATTAAATAAAAACCGTCATTTAGTCAGTTCTATGGAGCACATTTCATGAAAACGCGACACTTAAACACAACACGCGTATAGTGAACATTAAATGAAATTGTGTAGGTTAAGATTTTTTTTATGTATAATGGAGATAGGGACTTTGTTTTTTTTATCTCTATGAAGCTAATCTCGCTCTCAGTGTGGTATAAATTATGGCGTAATAAAATGTAATTTTCAACGAGTGGTTTGTTAGTTAAAAATATCGTTGTACGATTTTAAACAGTTGAGCCCATAATGGCACGTAGGACTCACAAAGCCATGAATAATAATATAATATAATATAAAATGTATAAACGAGGTCTATATATTATTTTATACTCGTGCTGTCAAGTGTATACATTTTGTAATGCTTCTTCAATGCTATGAATGCAACTAGTAATAATAATTATTTAATTAGTTACACAATTCAACATGAATGCTTCCTTGGAGATCTTCATGCTAGTGACCCTCGTTTACATCTTTAAAAGGACCAACACACTGGGCGATTATTATTAGAATAGGATAGCTCAACACATTTAACAAAGCACGTCATAATATAACGTTAACATATTATATCTAGCTCTGACAAACAACGCATTTTGTCGGAGCTAAACATTTTTAAAGGGCTAAAATCTGATTTGCAAAGTGAATGTTTTAAATTCGTGAGTTCACAATATAAGAGCAAATATACGGAGTGTCATAAGTAAAAGAAATTATGACTTATCCCCACAATTTTTATTTACTATACATGCACTACGGAAACATCCATAGCTCATCGATCATGCAAGAACATTACCTATATGAATAAAAAATATATATACATTGCATATGGGAGTGTCCGACACCTCGATAAATAACATCCCGGATATTGTGTGCGCACGGACACTGCTATGCACGCTTCGTTCCCTTATTGGATAAAACGTATATGTTATTTATAGGTGTATAATAACACGTATGGTATTATGTGTTTACGAGAAATGGACAATGATATTTTTTAGATGTCAATCGAAGATTTAATACATCACACTATATTCCATAAAAAGGTATGTACTATTTGCATCTTATCAATTATAAATTTAGTTTTTTTTAAATTATGGTTTAATTTTATTGAATAGTGTTAATAAAATTTATTTATTATTAAATTAGATTCAATTTTAAGGCTTAATTAATCTATTTTCACGACGTATCGTTTCAGTTTATAAATCAACCGATGAGATAAAAAGCTCAGAAAAACAAATATAGAAAATACACCACACTGTATAATTTTAGAATCCACACCAGAATTTATAAATTTAACACATAAATATTGAGAATAAAGACTCTGATTAAACTGAATACAGTTTAAAATTTTATTAAAGGAAACAACATTGTATTAGTGGGATGCTGCATGATGAGTAATACGCAAATTGAGATTTTTCTTAAAAAAAAAAAAAGAATTGTTTCACCACAATTTTGAGATATAAAATTTAATTACATAATCTGGTCATCAACTAACCAATAATTCATTAAGAAATATCATATGATCTCCGACAAGCAGTATTCTCTCAGTTTTTACAATCAATTTTGTACAAAGAAGATCTTTTTTGGTTTTTAATCTTTTTTAGTTTCGATGTTTTTTTAAAATTAATAAAAATAAGTTTAAAATATTAAAAAATACGACATTTTATTTGACCTTATGAAATAAATAAAAACCAATTCAATATTAGAATAAGCAAAACTGTTTCAAAAATGATCAAATGGCAAGCAAAGATCATAAATTTAGTTTAATTTATAAAATGTTTATTTTCATACCCTTAACATAACTTAAAATAAATAATAATAAATAAACATACTAAACGATTCGTTTTACGTAAAATAAACAACAGTGTAATCTATTTTTAACTAAGGTTCATTAAACTTTAGTTAACTCATATGCATTAGAACTGTGTTTATCCCACGCAAAGTTAGATAAAATCAGATATTTTTTAATCAATCAAAACATCAATTTTTAACATTTACGTGGATTAGACAATAAATAAAGAAACTAAATTTAAAAAAATAATTTTATTAATTGACGCATATTACATAATACTATCATATTAGAATCTAGCTTAGATATTAATAATTCTAAATTTTATGATTTTTATTTTTTTGTTGGAATATGTACCTAGTATTGCGATTAGTTATTAGTGTTTTTTTTTTCGGAAATTCGAGAAAAGCGTAGGCGCTTTCAATTTTCACGTTAGATTTTAATATTAGTTACCATAAGCATGTGCTAGTCATCCGTGTAATATAATTTTTTTATATTTTCACTTTTTCTAGTAATGAAATAAGACAATCAATTTTTTATATAGAATAATTAGCTCGCTTTTTATAGAGTTAACGTTCAAAGCGTACATTATCTTCTGATATTTGTAGTATTTGACCGACTTAAAATTATATTATTTATTTGTGATTTATTTTTTATAAACAAGTTTTTCACCTCAAAAGCTAATAAATTATACAGCGTGAGGTATACCTGTAAACATATAAATAACACGTTTATTAGTTCTGAGAAGATAATTTTTAATTTGTCCATAACCCAAAACATACTGCTTAGACTATGCCACATATTAAAAAAGAATAACCATTGAAGTAGTCAACAAATTCGTTCCAAAAGCTCTTACAAGTTAAAAAATACTAATATTTTTTGCTTTGTGACCGTTAATATGTTGATGACGTTTTAATTCCACTGAAGTGATAACATACTTAAATTATGTATAAACACACGAAAATGATTATTTTTACAGATATTTATAGTACATCAAAATATTAGATTTTTTCTGATGTTAAATAAAAAATTACAAGTACTATTGCATCACTGTATAAGTAATAATTTTTTTTTCAACTTATTAATTATGACTAAATATTAAATATTATAATGTTACAAAAAGTTTTAATTAATAGCAATTAGGTAATTGTTTAATTATTATTGAAGACGTTTATTATATTTTTATAAACTATGTAATCGAACGCTTAAAGCAACAAGAAATTTAAGAAAAATTAGTGTAATTGGCCAAAAATAAAGCAAACAAAGGAACCCTAAAGATAATTGAGCAATTTATAAATATACTTCTCAACGACTAACATAAAGTAAGCATATAGTGTAAAATTTACTTCTAAAAATGGCTCTACTTTAATTTGTTTATTGCTACTTAAAAATTCTTAAATTTATTCTGACGACATTGCAATTTATGTTGTCAGAGAACCATAGTTAGCTTAATAGACATAATAAAAGTAAAATATAAGAAATATGTTTAACTAATTAAATTTTAATTTAACATTTTTAATTTTTAAAGTTTATTTCAAATTTGTTTAATTTATATGTTATTTTTTACTTTAATTATCATTTAAGATTATATTTATTTAAATAATAATAATATTACAAACTATCATGTTAGGTTATACTGTTAAGCACTTACATAAAATAGTAGTTGCCTGCAGTTGCATAATCATGTGCAAGTGAATAAATTATATTTATTCGAATAATAGATTTATTGTAATTTATAATACTTTTAGTAATTCTTAAGTCTTGCAGTAAAAAAGGAGATAATTCTGATTTAAAAGAATATTAGTAGTAAAATTCTAATGTATTAAGTTTAATACAAGTCGTAAAATTTTAGTGCTCATAATAACAATAATTTTTATGCTTGAGTTTCACTCAGTTTTTAGTATATTTTTTTATTTTACCATTAGCATATTATATAGAAATTATTATGTTTCACGGCAGACATCACTATTAGATACATATTCATTAAAAACTTAAATATCCCTAAGCACAAACAATAGTGCTATTAACATTTTAAATGACAATTGCTTATAAAAAGTATGTTCTAATGTCAGCTGATTAGGCATTTTACATGTCATTAAATTGAAAAGTCATATGAATAATAATGAGTTGTTTTATTCGAATTAATAGAAAATTATAATTTAATATTATAAAGTATTCAAATTCTAAAAATACAAATTACCATTTTAAAATTATCGAAAATTATATTACATAAGTTAAGTTTAGAGAATAGATGACAAATTTACTCGAATTGTAATGTTTGTGTGTATTTAGTCTATGATACATGATGTGCTATAATAAATATATGGTAATTTTATTTTATAAAAGTCATTTGTGAAATCAAACTTACCACGATTAGATATCAAATCACTATTTAATCAATTTTGATAGGACTATAAACTATACTACTTGGTATATTTTATTAAAATATTTGTATTAATTCTTAACATTTGTTGATAGTAATCAAATATTTTTTCTATTCAAATATTAGTATTTATAAATTCGAATGACATTGTTTGAGGGTGAATTTTTTTAAATATATCTTTTTTAATGATAAATTAATTTTATTTTTATTTGTTATAACTGTTATAAACAATTAATTTTAATATATTTCATCCGTAATAAATGTTTAAAAGTTACTTTTGGTAGAAGAAAATATTACTATTGTAAATAAAAAGACAACGCAATATTATTATTCTAGATACTAAAATATATTTCTTGTTTTTACACTGGAAATGAAATTACCATTTCTTGAAGTTACAGAAGACGTTTTTAAGAGCCTTTTGCATATGAGCTTCCAAGTAGTGCTTGATGAAGCGGTACAATTTTTGTTCTACTTCTTGGAAGACAACGACTGGTAATTGTTCTTTCAATCCACTGTATTGAAGACCTTGCAAGTAAACATCGGTATTGACCATGCGGCATTCATCGCTGTTGTAGAATTTGAAAACATTGACTTCGAATTCAATGTTCTTCAAGTTGAAGTTGACGTTTTGGGCTTGGTAGCGTTGTCCGTTGACTACAATGACGAAGTCACCGTTCCATTGGGTTCCGTAGATTTTGGAGTCAAAACGCATTTTGTATTGTTGATTGTTCAAACGGGTGTATGACATGGCGCTAATTTTTTGGTTGACATAGTTGCTGTAGTTGTCGTTGCTCTGGAGGTTGTTCATTTCCATAGCGACGTTGTTTTCCTTCCATTTCATGCTTTCCAATTTGCCAATTCCAAAAACTGCGGATTTTTCGATTGGGCGGGTGATTTCAGTTTTAAGTTGGAACAACATACCCTTGTGGGTAGCGCTGAAAACTTCGTTGGAGATAGCACGTTCCAAATCACGCAAGTATTTCCTTTCCAAAACTTCGTTCAATTGTTCGGTTTCTTTGCCTTGTTCGTCATAGACGGTGACTTCAGCGACTTCGTATTCAGCAGGAACGATTGAGGCTCTGCGGGAGTGGAATCTGGCGGATACATTGCTGTATACGTTCTTCATAGCGATGTTGAATTCTCCGGAGTTGAGGTGGTGCAAGTTGGATTTGTATAAACCTTGGGTCTTAAGGTTATCGAATTGGTATTCAACATAGATGTTGTCGTATTCAGGGTTGACAGCCAAGTATTCGATTTTACCTTGGTTCATGTTGCGGATTTGAGCATCATGGAATCTGATGAAATGGTCTTTGTCTGGCTTGTAGACGGTCATTTCCAATGGAACGGTATTGTCGAAACTCAAAGTAGCAACATTTTCATAGGATTGTTTAACATCACTGAAAAAGATTCTGTACAAAGAGTAGATTTTATCGACGGTGTTTTTCAAGTATTGGTTGGTAGTTCCAACGGTGGCATCGTTTTCACGGACATATTGTTCGAAATATTCGTTGGATTGTTCGTTGGATTCGGTTTCTTCGCTGGAGCGTCCGAATTGGTTCCATTCTCTGTAATTATTGTATGATTCGTATTGCTCGGTGTTGTCATTGTTTTCATGGATGTTCAATTGGTTGTTGTTGTTATATTTTAATTGGTTCAAAGCGCTGTAATAGCTTTGGCATTGGGGTTTGTGCATGTTTCTCATTTTGGTGCAGTCATGTCTGTTGTATTTTTGGTTGTATTCGTTGTATTTATCTTGGTACATGTAGTCAATACCTTCCTTATTGAATTCGCGGTTTAAGTAGGTAACGTCTTGGGAATTGTCATACTGGTGTTGTTGATCTACAATAATTCACACATAAAATCATTTGTATTAATCATTATATTTTTTATATTACACGATGATACTCATATCATCAAAAAAGAAGAAAAAAAAATATATTTATTTTTGTTGTTGTTGTCTAATTTTCATTAAACTAAATAATCAAAATTTATTACACAATTAAATTATAATAAGAGTTATTTTTCTATTCAATTTAACTTTTTGATAACTTATATTTAAAAAATATATTAGTATAAATTTTTAAAAGTTTACTCACTGTATTTGCGTTCAAAACGGGTAGTGGCAGCAGCTAAGGCTACGCAAGCCAAGACTAAAACAAGAGATGCCTTCATGTTGTTGCTTTGGATTAACAACAAAATTAAAATGTACCTTTTTCGGTGAGTACGCTTGGTATTTATACTGCTCAAATAGACGACATCAGCAAAAATTTACGTGTGCATAAGTTGAAAGTAAAATGCAGTGCTAAGAAATTATTTATAAATCGATTAATAAATGATCATCTATGCAACTATCATAAAACGTGTGCTTGATCTTTACGACCTAAAAATATTCATTATCTTAAAAGTTTTTATCATACAGTATGAATTGACGTTCGCTGAATTTATACAGGTAGTCAATATACTAAATAACATTTTTATATCGTGAATGTGGTAGACTATTTATTGTATTTATGTATGTTGAAATTTTAAAGATGCAAAATTCAAATCAAAAGATATTAGAAGACAAAAGTACGATTTTTCAAGTATTTAATTAAATATAATAAATTTTAATTTCAGTTATATTTTCTATTAAACAAAGTATTTAGTTCCTTTAATGAAATAATTTACATCTCTATGTCTTAATACAGTTTAATTACGACAAATGACGAATTAAACACAATTTCTTCATTGTTTGATAAGAATAATTAATTACTTAATTTTATAAATAAAATACAAATCTACATAAATGAATTTTTTACAAAATTCTTTTTCACTATAAAAAATTCCTATAATCTTAATGATACATGATGTTAATTGAACCTATAAATTCTTCAAATTATTAAAAAAATTAAATTAAATTTACACTCACGTGTTTTAATGAGAGGTATTATTAACATTTTAAATAATTATATTAAAAATCAAAATTTATCCTTTTTTTTTTTTTTTATAAAATACAATTGTTTAGAAAATATTTATATAAAAAGGTATTTTTGTTTTACAGTAATATTTGAATTAAACCTTTGTTAAAATTGTTTGTTTGTTTATATTATTTAGAAATATTCTGGGTACCAGGGTGTTGTTTTAAGACTTGAGCTTTACCCGGTAATTAGATTGTGTGAATATTTTTACTGGGCTCCATTTTTTACATACATTTACTACATGGAAAATGTCTAATATTAATCTCAGTTTGGATAAACAAATGTTTTAAAAGTTTTCTTCAATATCAAAAATATAGTTTGTTATAACAGTGATTATTATTTCATTTTTATGTCTATCATATAACATTATTTATGATTACAGTTATACTAAATTTAATTTAATTTTAATATATACTAGAGAAATGTATTTTTATTTTACGAGTTCGTAATGTTTTATAATGTTTCAACCTTTTTTTTTCTGATTATGTGATTTTGTAACAAAGAAAAGCCATAAAATTAACCCGATTAGAAATTAATATGATCAAAATGATATGATGATAGATTAGATTATGTATAACGCTGATGGTAACATTGTTCCCGAAATATTTTTTATAATTTTTAGTTTTTAATTAATATTTTAAATATACTTTCATAATAAATATTAATGTAATATTTATTAATAACCAAAGAATGGATATATTTTTTTATCGTGAAACATTAAATTTTTTATTTATTGTTTGCTTAGTAATTTATATACCTATAATTTAAATATCAACTCAACTTATTTTTGAAACGAACGTCAATAAATTATTAATATATATTTCTAATGTTTCGTAACATGAATAACTAATTATGATTAACTATTAAGCCAAAAAGACGTAAAATTTTAATAATTTATGGATATGTTGTGTCATATTGTAACTTTCGGTTCAAATTGTTATTTTGAAAAGTATTTAGCTGCCATAGTATATAATTAGTTATAGTTAATTTTACCTAAAATTTTATATAATTATTTATTATTATTCATAATTTATAATATAATATTTTTCATATAGATTTCTGGTATTAAATTTTAAAGTTAAAGGGCTTATGTTGAACTAATTTCATATTATTTAGTCAAAATCAATATGACAGACTAATTTATTGTTTTTAAGTAATTTTTTTGGTATTTTAATTGTTATTAGAGATGAACTCTTTAATATTAGTTCAAAATAGGGCAATATTTACTATGTATTTCATTATTTTATGTTATTGTTTATTATGATTTTTGTGGAGTATTTTATAACAATATAAAAAGCTTTGAAGCATAATTTAAATCGTGATGCGAAAAGATTATTATATAAGATTATTATTATATATATAAAAGATTATTATTATATTAAATGATAAAGTCTGTTGGTTAAAAAGTCGAAAATTTATTCAAGAAAGTTCTTACTACATTATTCCTTGTGCTTGTTAAAAACACAATAATATGCTGATCACAAATAAATTATTTTTAACACGTGAGAATAGGTACATCTGATTACAGAATTCCATTCCATTCATAGAATATTGTTTATCAAATTAAAAATGTTTAATAGCCACATTCTGTGTATTTCTATCAATTAACATAAATGAAGGTGAACTATATTAGAACTGAAATGCAAGAACTTTTGTTGTTCTAAAATATGTTACGTTAATTTAATTTTTTCCTTAGAAAATAATAAATATAAGTTTTCTGTTCTTTTTTGGAAAAAAAAAATTTTGTGTGGTCATAAAAGTGATATGTGAAGATCGGCTAAAGGGTTCTAGTGAACCTTTAACTTACCTACCCTAGAGAATAAGTACGATTTTCAGTCACAATAGGATTGTAAAAAAAAATTGATCATATAAAAAGAAACAAAAGTAAAAAGTTTTTTGAAGAAATTGTTGTCGAAAATTCGGATGCGTAGAATAGCAATCCTATTAAAACGCATTTCCCATCGCAAAGATAAAAGCCAATCATTCAAACGTTTATCAAGTTGAGAAAGACTCAAACCTTTTTTTTGTTATTACATTTCACCTCTGAGGTTTATTTTCTTCAACAGTATTACACTGTGACGATGGCAAGTCTATCAACCCGCGTCTGTACCGCTGAAATCGCTGACGCCAAGACTCGTTTGCTGCAATCATTGTTGCCTTTGTGACCTGGTCCCGAGTGTGTCGTTACAACGTGATGTCTACGATCAGAATGGGTAAGTGTGTTCGTGTTTTTGCGAGGAGATTAGATGTCAAATGGCACACAAAGTCGGCCGAGCTGATGGTGTGTAAAACTGAGTACACGTGTAGATGTTTGTCAAACGTTCTTAGGGCATCATGGATACCTTTAGGTTTTAACGTCGATGTGGTGATTGAAGCGAACGACTGGCGTTTCCGAGAGGGGGTGGACTTGAAAACAGGACAAATGGGTTAGCCATCAATCTGATCTGACGGCGTAAAAAAAAACATAGGGTCAAACTCCTCAGACGTGATTCGTTTGCGTTTTCGTGTTTTTCAAACACAACAGAACGATTTTTCTCTGCGAGTTGGATGTGTGTAGCCTATTGTTGATCCGAAGGTGTGAAAACAACAAACGGCTACCGGATAAAATAAATCAGCTTTCATTGGAGTCATCATGTTTGTAACATGAAATATCTCTTGCCTTTTCGTCCATTTCTAGCATTTCTGAATTACCTTAATCTTCTTCATTTTCTAATCACTGAAGTTTATACTGAAGTATGGCATCGAAAAATGTAATTCATTTAGGTCATTCTGTTTTATGTAAATAGTGTATGCATTTACAAATTTAGAAAGTAAAAACAAGAAAAGAATAATTTTTTCTAATTTTATGTGGTATTGGGTCATATATTAATTTGTTACGATCAGTATAAATTTTATTTTTAATTTTTTTATTCTGATTACGTTAGTATTTAATTACACTTCACGAGTATTGTAGTTAAAATTTATGATAAATGAAATTTGGCAGTTTTTAAAAATTAATCACTCAATTAAAAATGATAAAAAAATTTAGTTGATGGTAGCCACTATATTAAAAATAAAAATAGTATATGACTATTACTCTGATATTCATCGATAACTGAAGATTAATTAAAACGTTGAATATCAATCATAAATGGAATGGGCTGTGTGTGTTCTAAATGTATGTATTTTCTTTTACTGAGCATAAGTACCCGGTATTTATGTATAGATGTATCAATCTTCGGATAGACTCGCCCGTTGAATCAATGAGAATGGTCCATTAGGTTTTGAAATACAACATTAATTGATTTATCTCTGAACCGATTAGTGAAAAAATGTTTATAAGTTAGTGTTATTAATTGTACATACTGACACACGCACATACCTCTCGCCTACGGGATTCGATAGTAAAAAACCTATTTCGCTTTATTATAGGAAACACGTCATAAAACCAATTAACATATTGTGGTAGTGGGCCCTGTAGGAGTTAGTGGTGAGCTCGTAAAGAGTTTAACGATATTTATATGATTATCATAACGTACGCAAAATAATGACACGCATAAAACGAAAAAGATAATAAATTATTACTGAAATAAAAAATAATAATAATGGTAATAAGCGGCTATATTAATGATAGCCGCCGTTACATCATGCAATGTCGATACTATACACAACAACGTTAGGGTTACACGTAAATAATTACTGTCATTAGGATACAAGTATATGTCATAAATTACGACCGTAGGGACCGATAAAAAGTTAAGTATAATAAATAAATACATGTTGTAAAACTAAAATGACAGTTTAGTTTGGGTTGCAAGTTTTTAGGATTATGTGGCTAAATTTGGATAGTATTCAGATAAAAGTATATAACTTGTATGGTCAACGAGATTATTTTTAATTGAGTGTGAACATTTTTTGATACTTTATCAAAATTTTAACTTTAACGTTATAATGTCAATTAAAAAAATTATTATTTAATTGAAATGGCATATCTCAATCAAATTTTCAACTAAATATATTGTAATCACTATCAATGTGATTGGATCCATTTATATATATACAGCATTAAGCATTACAATTGCGATAGCACAGTAATTAGCATAATGTTTCATTTATCTGATAGTGCAATATGCAACAGATACAAAGTTCAATTACTTGTACATTTATAATTGTATTGATATGTATATAAAATATACTATTCGATTAGTAATTCATTTGTGTATTATTGTAAATAGTTCTTATATTTTGAGATCCAAGAAAGGTCTTGTGTTGAAGGTAACCAGATTTAATAACAAAAATCGCAAATAGTATTATTAGATATGACCATATTAAAAAAAAATCTTTACTTCTCATTTTATGTCTATTAATATGTCCAATGGTCGCATAATTGCGGTTATAAACTTGCACCTTACACTTACAAGGAACGAATTATAATAAAAATTTTCCGTTTAAATACAATCTTTATATTTGTCTTGAACAATGTCATATAACACGTGTTCCTGAGACACGATTCTTAAATTAAATCACATTCAATAAATAATTTTATCCCTACATACCAATAGTGGTTCCTTAAAAATAATATAAATTTAAAGAATGAAAATTATTCTATAATTTGTCTACTGGTAAAACCTTGTATAAAAAAAACTAATAAAATATTTTTAATGTTTTGTCATAAGTAAGATTTATGTTGACCGATCATTAAAATTAATAATATTTATGGGCAGTAAATAAATATATAACATTAATAAATACAATTAAAAGTTTAGTATAAAAATAATCAGAACAAAGATATTTTTTTTAGCAACGAATTTTATTTTTTTAATGTGATGTTGACGAGGCGACTCTCTTCCCACTCCCCACTTTGTACTAAACTTATATGATTATAGCGTATGCTAAAACAGATATTATGCTGAAAGTGAGCTTAAATGTTAGCTTGGATAAACGTGTTATCATATCATGTTTTGTCAGATTTTTGTTCTATTTATTTACTTAGGCCTTTTTTACTTTTTAATGTGTTTCTTTTTTAGTTTTAATTTTTTAAATCTAAATATTATTATTATTATGTTTCATGTAGTTTGAATATAATAATTGATATCATGTATTTTATTTTATTAGAATAAGAATTTGAAAAAAGAATCTTTTTTTTTTTTATTGAACTTGATTAACCATTGGAATTACTTGAAATTTGACAAACTTAAATAAAATTAAAGTGTTTAAAAAGTGTTGGGAGGCAAATTTTATTTTATATAAGTTAGTCGGTAATTAGTAAAAATTGAGCCCCAAGTTGAAAAGTCATAAAATTTACCCATTTTTTTTTTATAAGTAGAAAGGTTTAAAAAATTCCATAGAAATATTATGTAAATGAAATAAAATTATAGTCATTTTGAAAATTCTATTTATTAAAAATGTTTGTTAAAAATTGCAGTTGATTATAAAATTATCAAAAAAAATTTTTTTGACTAGTTTTAGAAAGTAAATAAGTAGACTAAACATTATTAAAACAAATTAAAATTTTCCATTTTCCATTTATAAACAGTTCAAAGATAAAAATTAATTAAATAACAAAATATGGACTAATTTAATTAGAGATAACAGACAATTATGTACAACAATAATTGAAATTATTGTATTACAGAAAACCAACTGTTCATTTAAATTAAAATTCAGTATTGAAATTAAAAGATAATAATAATAATGGTGAAATTGTCTACCGTGAAGTATTAGGTTTGTTGATTTTTTTTATGAGGATTAATTGTCTAATGAAGATTGCTATCAACTATAATTTAATTAATGTAAATTACAACATATATTCAGTATCATATAAAATGTAAAATGATAATTTTAGATTGCTATACAAATATAATAGCTATTTATACAAAAAATAGAACAACAATAATGTAGTAAAACTGGTGCTTGAATAATGTGTACCAAAAATTGACTAAACCGACATAATGAACAGCATACATTTTATAAATTTATTCTATTTACAATACTATAGAGCGATTGATAACAAATGGATTAATAAACAGCCCGGAAGGTATAATTGCTATAATTTTAATTTTTTATACACGATTTGAGCGACAAAGTCAAAAAACTGCTTTCAACAGAATAAAAAATATTTTAAAAACGATGACTAATTAAGTGATTTAATTCGATGGGCAAATATTTGAGAAAATTTAAACTTCAAATCATTCGAGCTTGGTAATAAGAGTGACAATTATAGATAAAAAATAAGCTTTGATAAACGTTAAGAAAGTTTTTAATGCTCTGTCCCTTACAATTATACAGAATTATCATTGCAACGATACTAGTTTAATTATGAACTGATTGCTACACCGCGGGCCACTAGAGAGCGCGACAGAGTGACTATTGGCAGTGATGGCATCGTGCGGTGGTAGGGGTGCGACTCTAAATATAATACAGCTAATTATAGGTATAAAAAATTGTCAAATTAAATATAATAAAATAAAACATATATTATTATTTTAATGGTCGCAGTAAAAAATAGAAATTAAAATAATAGTAATAGCGATTATACCATTACAGCAAACGACATCGACCACCGTACACGTAGTTAATTCTAAAAATAAATTACCCAATATAGTAATATACTAATATTTTACTGTATGGACGACGCTGCTAGTCGACCAAACACTGCTCCTGTGTGCATGTGTACCCGTATATACTGAGGGAAACAACTTCAATGTTCGCACACGACAAATGTGTCATAACTATTTAAGAATTTGCATTTTTAGTAAAAATGTAGAATTAAGAATATACAATTAATTTTAGTAGAGGGTGTAATTGTCCCGTCGTCCAAGCCACGAGCCGCCACTAACTGTTGGGTAAGATAGGAGTCTTCTATCTTATCATTTGGCCGTCGAGTTTTGAGTTCTCTCATGCAGTATATTCACTTTACTGAACACCCTGTATATCTATGACATTTCCAGTCTGTTCATTCGGTTATTTGAATTTGTCATTCTACTACTTAGCTTGTCTAACTTCAAGTACTCATTTTCTCAAATATCTGTTTATCGAATTAGAAATAATCAATGAATTTGTGGCTAATTTATTTGTAGTTGTCAATTTATTGTTCTGATATATCGAGTATGATTATTTTTATCATTAGACATTTTTTATGCGCAAATATCCACCTGCCTAAGTATAAAAATATTAATAAGTTCCAAAGTTGTGATATGTAATTTTCAGTAATTAGATAATTTTATAAGCTAGTTTAATATCTATGTTGGCATTTAAAAAAATAAAGTTGGTACCTTTGCAAGTGTTAAGGGACGTATTTAATTTAAAGTATTTAAGTACTTATAGAACAATAATAAATTAGATCGAGAGATAAAAATTACTTATCAAAGACAAAAACAAATATCTTCAAGTTTATTATTATTTTAGATGAAATTTAGTGGTCAATGATAAATTAATCCCCCTGTAAAGCAGTTTTAAAATTCTTTTTGTAATATTTCACAAAATTTGTATTTAAATTATTATAATATTACGCAGCTCTCTGCAAATTTCAGGTGTTTGCCGAGACGTTGATAAATTATGGGGAGAGAGTGGGGATGACAACATTGACCCCAATTCCAATACTTATTATTTTATAAAAAAATTTTACAATAGAGGGTTGAGAAACCATTATGAAGTACTAGTATGGAAGTATTATATCTAGACTCGCGATTGTTTAAAATTTATTTTAATTTTGAAACCCAATTGATTTGTTAACAGTTTTTAGTTGTATCAATAATAACTTTTTATAGTAACCATTGCGAAATTATTTATAAAATTCGATAAATGATAAAAAAATATTGATCCGATCAAAAATAGAAATTATTCATCACTTTTGTTAATATTTTACCATACACGACAAATATTTCGTATGTGACTATTTATTGTACTACTTCAGGGAATTGTCTCCCTGGTACCTACAGATTTTTAAACGTTTAACTAGTGTATACAGAATCAAGTTTATTGTTGTAATATTTCGCTCAATATGCACATGCATTATGATACTTTAATACGGAAAACTTTGTAATGTGTAAGTACTTCTTTTATATGATGGCGTTGTTGTGATATTCTGTCTAATATTACACTGAAACGAAACAAAATATAGTGTGTAATGTAGTTCTATTCCACGTATCATGTTATTACATCACTATCACATCCTGAGATCAAAATAGCTAAAAAGAGTATTTATTTATTTTTGCACAAAAGCACCATAGAAGTTTTCACGAGTCACATAAATGGATCATTCCGTTTTATTGTGACCTACATTGAATAGAATATAGTTGGGTTGTCCGAAATACATGCACGTGTGTATTTAAGACTCGGGTTAGAGGTTTCATTGAATTGAATTCATACAGTTTTTCGCTAAACTTGGAACTTCTATACGTCGTGTAATGTCATATCCATTTACTACGATATCAGTTTGCGTCGCTAGGTATACACTTTTATGTACTCAGCTGGGAAACGTCTTAATTGAACTCACGTTTCATGACATCTGTTTGTCAAACCCTAACCGTCTGAAATTCAATCTACTTGCCACTTTGGGCGCCTTTTATATTAAAGCAGCCAAACATTTCTTTATAACTGTCTATCTTGTAATGTCTGCGTCAAAGTAAATACTTGTTACAGGCCATAACGAAATGTAGCCTTTTAAGGGGACTAACAAAAGTTTCGATATTAAGTATGTTGTTTTGATAAAACACTAAATTACAGTAATGACTTTTTATTGAATAAAAAAACTGTTAATTCTATAGTATACTTTCTCTATTAAATATTAGTTGTTCAAAGCTCAAAATTAAAAAAAAATCAACAATCAAACGACAGACCTTATAACAATTTATTTTATATTGTTAAGACTTGTACTAAAAAAAATTCTAGTAAAATGAAACATTTTTTTTAATATATAACTGAATTTTTTTGCTGTCGATTGAAGAACAACTTTAGTTAAAATGGTAAAAACTTTATCAAGCAAACAAATACTGTTATAACAACAAAAATATAAATTAGCTGTATTTTTTTCAGTGGAAAAATTATGTAATATTCATTTAAAATTTAATTTAAACTAAAAATTAATATTCATTAAATTTTGTTCCAACATTAATACCGTGTAATATAAAATTAAACAATTAATCGTTAGTAATTTATTGCTATACGCATTAACAACTTGATGGCTTATAAAAAAAATTAAATGATTATATATTAAAAAATATATATATATATTTATTACTCAATTAATATTTTTGTAAAATAAATTTTCAACAAAATATAGGTGAATAATTTTATAAATCATTCACGTGAGAAATTGATTGATATATAATGAAGGTTAATCATATATGATTAACCTTTGACATTTTGCAAAAATATCATATGTTCTACACAAACATCGTTTTTTAGTGTATTATGTTATGTAACTTTCATGTAGGCTCAAATTTCTTAGTATAATTTGTCAGCAATTTTTCTTATTGAATCAAGTACGAATTTCACAACAGTTCCACCAAATGAAACGTTATCAATTGTTTCGATGATCTGTAAGGTATTAGCTAAACGATTTCGTAGTAATATATGCTTTAAAACACTATCAAAATCAAACCTTTGGCATGAATACATTTTTTTTATTTCAGGGTTTGTTACTGTTAATTATTATTATTATTTTTATTTAAATAATCATTGTACACTCTTAATGTTAGAAAATTATGAATGAAAATTGAAAAATGTAAAATTAAATTTTTAGTTGAACAATATTTATTTTTAAGTTTGAAATCAACTATTCGAAGGAGTAATTCTAATTATACTCTATTTATTACCAGTTCCGTCGTTAAAGGATAATCAGTACAACTTCTATTAAAAACCATTTTTTTAAAAAAGAGATCAACATGGATAACTATTGGTTCCCGCCATTTACTATTTACTTGCAATCAAGCTATAATAACGGCAGTCCTAGTTTAAATAGTAATCTATAATTATAATTATCTATAATTATAGAATTAAAAAATTATCAACCTTAATAATTATTGATTATTTATTCATTAATTGTTAATTAATTATTATTTATGATTAATAGTAGCTATAAAATTTTACTAAATCTAGAAACACAATTTTTTATATCTTCGTTACTTTATTTTATGTTTATTTAATATTATAACCGTCAGCGATTTTATAATGAATATTCATTAATACGTCATATTTTAATAAATATTCTATTGATTGAAGTAGAAAATTTGAATTAATGACTTGTTTTTATTAAAGTGCTAACTACTACATTTGTACTAATATAATCTGCATCGCAGAACGCTAACTACGTTAAAAAAACATACGGCTGGTTTAAATTATATTAAAGGAAAACCAATAATTAAATTTATTTGGTAAAAATTCAACACAAATTTTTTAAAAGCTTTTACACACAAACGATGTTTTTTTTTCCAAATACGATTTCATATTTACAAAAAAATCTAAATTGTAAATTTTAATTGATGTATATATATATTTATGGTTTCCTGTTCAGTGTTTTAGTTTTAATGTTAAAAATAAATTTATAAAAAATTGTATATTAAATTTCCGATTTTTTTTTATCGATATAAAAATATTAGATTAATTTCAACAATTTGTCAATAATCATATGAATTTCATTCAAATATGAAAACATATCAAGCCATTAAAATTGACCTTATATTTATTGAAAATTTAAAGTGTTATACCACTAGATACTTTAATAGATTTATTTAAGTTTAGTATTTGAATAATTCTTTTTTATTGAATATTACATACGTTTAAATACTTGATTATTATAAAAAATATATGTGCACTTAAACTTTGTGGATTACTTTTGATATTGTATTACTTGAAATATTGTATTTTATTTATGTTTTGGATATCGAATTAAGAGTTATTGAATTTGGAAGCAACTGAGGATAAAAATAATTTATTTAGCTCATTGTGTTTTAAATGTCACCCCTATAATAAATTGTAATTATTTTGCAATGTCATACAATATGAATCAATTTTGTTTAGTAGTTCAGCATACATTTATTGTAATGTGACTATTCCATTGAATGTCGACGTAATTTATCATGTTCGCTGCTGGTGATTTTTTGGCTGTTCTTTGAGTTCTTTACCGCCAAATTATATTCTATAAAGAAATGGTGCCTGTCGTTAGACTACCTCTGTTAATGTCTATTATGTTTTATTATATACCTAATGGTCACTCACTATACAAAAGTAAATTATTGTGTCGACATTTTGACAAGTAATAATTGTTTTGTTTAATTAGTAGAATTTTTCTTTGTATTTTCAACCTCGTCATAAGTTATTTATCAAATTAATTTAATAAATTGATCATTAAAATTATCGCAATGGAAAAGTTTTCAAGTATATAATTTAATATAGTTAAAATTACGAAATAAATATTGTTATACAATTACTAACCATGACAGTTTTATTAGTTTAATAATTGAGTTAGAGTGAAATGTTTGTCTAATAAGATCAGTCAACTATCAAAATGTCGATTTATATTTAATTGATAATAATTTTCATTATCTATTTGAATACGTGAGAAATATTCTAATTGAAAATTACCATAAATTATGCAACGAATGTCACTGAAATGAATTGTATTTGTCCAATAGAATCTAATCAAGAGGAAAATTTTGGTAGAACTGATCGATGTCAAAAAAAAAAAAAAATGTAATGATTTATTACTTACATGTTTTGAGGTCAATGCAAAACGAATGTTTTTTTTTTTTGTTATTAACTTCTAAAAGCACATGCCGGCGATGATCAATAATAAATCATTCTTAAATTAAACTTATGTACATTTTTTGGTTGCGATCAGACACAAAAAGCTGTTTTTGACGACAGCGTTACGTCGATTTGGCATCAATCAATGTAAAACTGACAAGCCGTTGTTCTCCTTAAAGTTTGACATGGATAGATGATAGTGCATCAGCATTTTACATGGGTGGTAAATTTATTTATTACCACAAACAAAACAAAATCGATGTGCCGTCAAGAGTGAATAGATAGCACCCCTTGAGAATCGAATTGTATATGAATTACGTGTGCATATTTAGACGCAAATTGTAATCCATTTGAATTTACATAAGTCCTTCGAAACGGAATATGATTTTATACAGACTTTCTTTTTCATGTTTTGTTTTCTTGATTCTCAAAAACATTAACTCTGATATCATCTAAAATATTGTACACGCGTTATTGATTTAGGTTGATGAAAAAATCCTTTTCCAAAATTAATGCAAGTTTCAGCTAATTTATAGACTACAAATTATGTATTGATGTTTTCTGAACGTTTTGGTGTATATGCCGTAATTAGTCATTCAAGTGAAGTCTTATAATTGTTTTCATAAAAACCATCTTAGGCGCGTTTGCAAACACTCCCATTTCATTCATCATCATCATGTTTAGGCTTTTGAACAAAATGTATAACTAAACGTCGGCTGTTGAAGTTTTTGTTGAAATTTCATCAATCAATTGAACGTTGACATTACTGTATGAAACAAATGTCTGTCTATAATTTATTAAATTTTATAATGTTAGAACTATAGTTTTCTAATTTGCATAACCCTAAGAACGTCGAAACACGTGATTACCCTGTGAATTATTTCCATGTTATTCATATCTTAGACTATTTCAATAAAAACGTACAGAGAATTTATTGTTGTAATAAATAATATTGAATCCCTTCTTTGTACACCTTGCAGCAAAATTAGAGTATGGCATTGAAACGCAATCCATCAATTTTAACTACACCGTAATGTATTAGTTTCGATAACATTTGTGTACTCAGTCAAGCTCTGCAGTTTTGTTTGAGTCTAATGTGAAATATGTTTAGGTCACATGTCGATTTGAATAACATAATAAAGTACTTTGTGATTTCCTTGGTTGTTTGCAGAAGCTGTGACTGTATGACCTCATGACGAATGGCGTTTAAATTAACCACGTAAAATGACGTTTAATCCAAAAAGGGGTTGATTTGAAAATTTAGCACTAGATAGACGTCGGGCCACAGGCTGATCACATTTGTCGCATAACCTTCCAGGGAGGGATTCAAATGACGCTACCTTATTATTGTATTATCAGCACAACGGCGAAATAGCTACAGTAATGATAATACAGTATGATTGGAGGTGGGGCACCGAGGCAAGCATCTATCAATGGACTTGAGACGACGGCCTTAAAACGTCCACTAATGCAAAGTTAATCGACAATAATTCTGTCCGATAAAATCTCAATGCTTAGTATAATATATCTTTACGCGTATTGTTACTTTATTTCAATGGTTATAGGGCACACACATATGATATTATTTTATATTTTTTCCATTTCTGTTGCAATATAATAAAAAATAAATACCACCGAACGCATACTCACGACCAACGACGTAATAATATAAAATAATGTTATGTTGCGTTTCATACACATACTTTACACGAGATTGTCATAGGCTGTCACAATTGTCGACATAAATTCCAATTAAAATCACGCTCCATCGTCATTTTATTGTTAATATAATACAATAAATTTTATTTTATGTTGCAGGGTTCAATACCGTCACAACTGCCTGTCGCATGCATTCCCTTTTCTTTAACAACACATCAAAATGTTTAGTTAATTAAACCTGCAGCCATAAACCAAAGTCTCCGTTGCTGTTTCACACATTACGAGAAAGCATTCTAGTGAGTTAATATGTAATCATACAATTTGTCAGTTATAAAATCGGCTCTCGTTATGTTAATTAATTGTAATTAATCTACGAATCTTACTGTGACCACATTTAATGATCATTACGTCAAAATAACTCAATTTTAATCTATTTCGATCCTGTCATCGACAAAAATGAAAATAAAAAATTGTGAAAAACCACACAATTTTAAACAAATTTTGAAAAACGACTCAAAATTATGCTTTTGTAAAAAATTGCATTTTACAAATTTTTTTTCTGAATTTTAAAACAATAATTACTATTTTTTAAAACACTGATACGAATGAAATTAGCAACAAGTTTTATTTTATTATTTTCATTATGAAAATTCAATAAAAACTCAAGTACAGGAAGGATTTGTAAGAGACCACCCACGTGTATAAATAAAATTGTTTAACTCAATTTTTGAAAATGTCTTACAACATCTGATAACTTTTTAACTATATTAAAATAAAATTTTTGGAGTGTACTATAATCTAAAAAAAAAAAAACATCCCATGATTTTTCTACTATAATAATTCGGACGTCAAATTAGTAATTCTTACAATTTAGTGTTTGCAAAATTAGAAATATAGAAATTAAATTTGTATTCTTAACTTTTTTTATAAATCAAGGATGGGTTTTTTAAATAATCGGGTTTGTTATTTTCAGAACATTTCTGCTCTACATGTGAAACTTGACGCCATCGTCAATAACGTCAAAGGAAGCACACCGTTTTGTAATTTCATTCACGTCGGAAGTAATTCTGCGAATCACGAGGCTGCCGTGCGAAACTAATTAACAACCGACGTAGCAATGAACACGTTTTGTGAGCCGTCACGACTGCCGCCGTACGTTTAAATTGAAATCCAATCACGTTTGATAATGACCAAACAGAGACTTATATTAATAACAATAAAGATAAAATTACCTTTTAACAGACGTTTAATATGCCGAGAGAAATAATTTTGTAAAACTGCATTTTTTCCTAATGAGCACAAAGCAGTCGATTATTTTTTTCTTAAGCATGTCACGATCGACGGGCTACTAAACTTTCCGGAGTTGTGGTTATTGGCGATGACATCGATAGCTGTGACTTGTTAAGTGTCCGTAAAAGCGGTTAAAGGCCACTTATGCCTCAAGTGTAAGAGTTGGCAGTTTGATGTTTTACTCCTATTGCGGGAAATAACATTCCAAACGTAATTGCTTTTAACTCAATTCGTATCAACAACTCCGAAGACTAATTACGCTTGTAAAAGCTACACAATTTTAGTTGAAGCATTGTAATTGTGTTGTTTTTTTTCATAAATAATATTTTTTTCATTTCTACTAAATAAATGCCCATTTTAATTTGCAAAACAATAAATAAAATATGTTATAATTTTTTAAATATTTATTTGTCGACATTTCAGTAAGAAATAGATAATAAATAATTATGGCATTGTTCATACTAATATAAGTTCAATTTAATAATTTACACATGTACATGTTTATTCATTAATTCAGTAGTAAACTAAACTTTGATACATTTCAGTTTAAATAGTAGATTATTGCCTAGTATCAAATATTAAATTACATAAATAAAGATAAAAATTACCATGGTTACAGTAAAGTTCATCCAAGAAAATATTTGTTGAATAATGAAAATATTATGCTAAATTCCATTTAATAGTATCACATGATAAAAATATTTCTCTTAATGAGTTCTTGATCATATGAAAAATAAAGAATTACATATTTTCATAGAAATGATAAAATAAAATGTAACGCTATACATTTTCTTTGACATCTTAATGATACAAAAATTTCATTAAGACGACTTAAATATAATTTATCTTAAAAATTATTTACTATGATAAAAATGGTATTATTTTACTCTTGCATTACCAGTTTAAGGTTCATTGTGGGGAATGGTAAATCACTGGTTAAAAAGCAAGAAAGCTAATAATAAGATAATTGAGCTCAGTAAAAAGGAGTACCTATCCGGCCACTCTTTCGGTAATAAAATGGTGAACTTTACAAAACAAACCAAGTACAAAACACCTTACAAATGGGATAGCTCACTTTCGTAAACGCAGCACTTAGTTTAAGTTTTAGGGGTGTCGGTTTGCAGTTGAAAGAGCAGTATTGTTAACCTTTCCATGGTCTAGCAAACTAGCGATCACAATGCTATACAGGCAACATAATTAATAGGCCTTTTGGTATAGTCGCCATGTATACCGAAAGACACCAAGTGGGTGAAAAAGGTTTTCAATTTTATAAAAAAAACTTTCCTCCCACCTAAATGTAAAAGCACACAACTCTCCACGCTCGAATACAAGTCATCAGCGAGAACGACAAAACACATTGTACTCCCCGGGGAATTTATCGTTGCTGGTAAGAGAGAATTACACGCACATATTATATTATATATATGTGTGTATAGAGCGAGTGTATAAATGTGTACGCAGTTTATTATTACTGGCCCGTTTACAGGGCAATTTGGGAAGGCAGGAAATCATAATTCACCGGTACGGGGAATGCTAAAAGCTTTTCGAAAGTCCCTTTCCCGCAGTGGTCGTCTTCCTCTACCGGTCATATAAAAGGTCTTGTCGCATTGTGATGCAGCCGCTGGCCAATTACTAACCGGAAAATGAAGTTACGGCGAATACAAATACAATGAACAATGTCAAGAAATTATGTATTCCCATTCCGGTTAACCAATAGGAATTTCTTTTTGTTGACCAAAACAATAACATTTTGTCACATTTGAATAAAAGTTGAATTCAGCCTAAATACGCATCCAGCAGATTTATACGAATATTTTTTAGAGCTAAAGTTATACAACACTTGTGAATTGTGGGCTGAACTTTGCCAAGAAATATATTGATGTCAGCTACATATTGTATAACAATTAGAATGTAAAAAAATAAATATAGATATTATGATTCGAATTTATTAAATTTCTTAAAGTTCTGATATTTATAATATTTAAACAAATAAACATTATATTTGTCTTATCAACTGCAAAAGTTACAACAATACGTTTTCATTGTTATATTCCTTTGGTTTTTTATTTAAATTTTTAAATAAATAAATGTAAAATTAGGATGTATAAACATTAGAAGACTCAATAATGCACACAGATATCTTTTAACACGTGATACCATGCTGTGGGTATCGTCTGTCCATGACCGCTTTGTGAAACCTATACACTTATCGTCGCCCTAATTAATTCACTAACGCTGCTCTCTTTATATCTTTCTTCTCTCTGCACTCATTTGTTCGTTACACAAGAAAGAATCTGTTACTTTAAACACGTATATGTACTAAAGACCGACCTCTGTATTTCTATCAACGGTCTCCGCACTGGCGGAGGCGGGACCTCGTCAAGGGGAAATTATATTAATGGTCGGCACGTCAAACCCGCGTGTAATTAACCGAAACGTCGTTTCCTCCCCATCATCATCATCATCATCATCATCATGCAGTGTGTGTGCTTTGCTCAGTCATCGTCATTTATTATTGTCGGCGGTATTTATACGTTTTCAAACATCCCCGACGTTTACACCTGGACATGAACGAGTGTATTCTAAGACCAAAATAATAATAATAATAATATTATTTTATATACATACAAGCACATATGGTATATATATATATATATATATATATTAATAAAGGGGAGGACAGAAGAATAATAAAGGTTTTTTCAGCATTTCAGTGAAACGTCGTTGCGTATTAGCCTTGTCATCGTGACTTGCCTTGTGTGTGACGCGACGTCCTCACGGGTTATATGCATGCACCCTACTCGTGATGCCACCAACATGGTCGTTTTTTTGACCCGTCTTCACTAAAAATCATTGCACCGGATGTACGCTGGAAAAGCATAGAGTAGAACGTGCGAATAACGTATAAAAATACCTGTTTGGAAAGACTATATCATGTACATATCTATGAGAAAAAGTTAGTCAAAGTTTTGACGAATCTATTTTAAGTATTCAACGTTTAACTCGTGTGAAATAAGTATTGTTTGCTGACACAGAAAAGTATGGTTCTTATTATATCATAAAGATGCTTTAGCGATATCCTTGACAACGAATTTGTCATAAATTATACAGGACAACAGATATTTTGTTATCTATAAAATTTTGTTTTATTATGTTTTAATANGCTTTAGCGATATCCTTGACAACGAATTTGTCATAAATTATACAGGACAACAGATATTTTGTTATCTATAAAATTTTGTTTTAATTTCGATGATGACTCCGTATATGGCTTCAGATTTTTGCCGTCACGTCTAGTTTTTAAGATAATTACTAATTGGTAATTAAATGATAAATAAACAATTAAATAAATGATAAATACCCCAAATTTAAATGCCGGGTTATTTTAGTTACTTAAATCCTTATAGTATAACGTTCATATTATAGTGTAGCATTTTACACTTACACTGTTAATCTGAATTCAGCTATAATGAAGTTTATTTGTAGTGAAAAATCAAAGTCACTTATTATTTACGAAGGCTTCAAATTTCGTTTTCACAAAGCACTTAAAGATGATGTACGGAGATAGCCTTGCTGCGTCAAAAATTGCTTTTTGAAATTATCTCCTTTAAATAAAATAGTAGGCAGTAATATTGATCCAGCAACGATAAATCGGATGAATATGTCCTCTAAATAGGAATATTTTGAGTAATTCTTTTTTTTTTTTTTAATGCATTAGATGACATTTTGTGAAAATCAGCAAAAGTTATTCACTCGAATTTAAAAAAAAAGAAGTATATCGGATTTAACAACCTCAAAATATGCCTGACCGCAACTCATACTTCATTTAAGGATTGGGACGATTAAAAATAAATAAATAGGATTTAACTATAGAAAGTTAACCCTAAAATTTACCCTTAGGAATAATTTTTTTTATAATAAAATTAATGTTTACAATGGTTAAGTAAAATTAATTAAATTTTAATCTCAAGATTATTCATGAAAAATCATCAAGAACTAGAGTAGTAAACTTTATAAATTATACAGTATAAATGAGTAAGCTACAGAATTGTAATAATTTTTATTTAATAAAAATGGATCAAACAATTTTTATTTTATTTGACATTACATGAAACATTTATAAAATGTTAAACGTTTAAACGTTAAATTAAACGTTTTTTAAATTTAAATAAATATGTTTAAAATATAATAAACTACTTAAATTGAAGAATGCTATATACAATATTTCATATAACCTGATTTGTTTTCGTTTATATAAGTCTTCGATTTTAGACATTCAATATAAAACTATATAATACTCCTAATGATTGCATAATTGTATAATTCTTTGAAAATGACTTATTCATTCAAAACATGTTTTCTTTCATTGGAATCAAAAATTAGCACTTTCAATTAGTAATAAAGTAAAGTTTTAAAAGTGAAAGATTTATATCTGTAAGATATAAGTAAACTATTGTAAAGGCGTGAGCACTATAATACATGTTTATGGGAATGAAACATTTTCTTGAGTATTAAAATCTTGATTATACCATTTTTAATTTTATTTAAATAAAAAGGAGACAAATAATGTTCAATTGTCTATTTATAAGTCATAGAGCTGTCATTTATGAATCAATAGTAGTGGAAATTTATCAAATAGGATATATTGATAACCTGAAATATAAGATTATAGTTCTTAAAATATACAGATTGTTCAGTAAGTAAGCAAATAGGTCAATTGTTACAAACAATGAAAACAATACAAACCTGTTTCTTTACTAACTGAACAGACTATATATTCAAATAATAGAAAATATCTTGGAAATTTTTTAGCTATTTGTAGATATTCAGTGATTATCCACTTTAGTCATTTAGGAGTACTTTAGATATTCCCACAAATATAGAATAACTTATGTATAATTTTTCATAATCACTAACTCATGTGTATTATTCAAATCCTCAGTTAAAAAGATATAGGTGCATCGATTCTATTTACTGTTAACAGTAAAGAAAAATTATAAACAAAATTAAATTTAAACTAATTTATATTTAAACATCTATTTTTTTCCAAAGTACTCAGAAATTATGATGTATTAATAAAGTTAATAAATCATAATAGTTATAAAGAATTTTTAAATTTTATTGAATATAAATGATATACCATGTTTTAATTTTAAATTATAAAATATAAATCGTAAAAATATGTTAAAAGTTATTTACTTGATTTTATGACATAAACTTATAAATGCGTAATATTTAAAAAGATCCGTACCGCAAAATTATAAAAAAAAATTATTGTTTTTCCGTAACTTATTAGTTTTTAATACACTATTTAAGAGCTTTTTCTAGCTTCATGGAAACAATGTTATTTATTTTATCACGTACATTTAAAATTTTAAAGCAAACGTATTGTATAACAATGACTATGATGCATAAATAATTGCATATTCTATTCTTGATTAAGTATAAACGTTACTTATTAAATA